AAACCCTCGGCATGTTCCCTGAGCTAAACCCTCCTTTGCTGCTTATGCAATTTCTGCCTGAGATTTCCTAACTCCCAGCTGTTGATACAACAAGGGGAACTGGATTTCTGCAACGAAGCAAAACACCCGCGTGGGTGCGGACTTGCCGGGTCTGGTCTCTGTGCAGGCGGTTGTTTTCGAGGGCTTTACCTGGGCTTTGCGCAGAGCTCTTAGCTCTACAGCTGCGGATTTAAGCCACGCGTAGCCCCACGAGCACAAACTTCTGTACCTGGCGTACACCTGTCAAATCTCTCGAGAGATCACACTGGTACCATTTAAAGCTTTCTTGTGGGTGAGGGCCACAGGGATCATGCCGCGGCCCCTCTGCAGTGACGGCTGCCCTTTCGCTCACAGGTTTTAGATCTGCACAAGAACCAAGATCGAGAACCATGGCCTCCATCCCATCGAGCGGCTCGCTCATGGCAACGCACAACTACCGCAGAAGTAAGGGTGGGATCGGGGCTGGAGTGGGCTCGGGGCGGTGGGAGAGCGGGCAGGGTGCTCTGCCAGCTCTGGGGGGATGTGATTGCAACAGAGATGAAGCTGAGCTCAGGTAGGAGCTTCCAGCTGAAGCCCTATGAGAGCTGGCAGGCCCCTTGCTGAGAAAGGGGGGAAGCCAGCAGCCGTCCCTCCTGCTGCTCAGACCCTTCTCTGGGCCACCACAGCCCCTGCCCAGTTGTACCAGCTGGAGATGGGTCTTGCAATCCCTTTCACTTGTTATTAAGGTTGGAGGTGATGGCCTCACATGCATCTTACGTTGTTGCTGCGGATATCAGCTGCAAGACCAATCTGGGCAATGGCAGCTGCTGGTACATCTGCAGGAGAGAGACTTTCTGGTTTTAATGGATTGCCTAAACCAGAGGGAATTAAAGTATTCTGCTTGAGCTGAAAGTAGTAAGAGGCTTGTAGCCAGTGGACTAAAACTGTATGGATTATATGCAGGAATCTACATCCCCTTGGCCTCAGGTCAACTGCAAAGGCCTCCTGAGTGTTGTCTACAGATGCAAAGCCATTAAACAATGTCCTTGGGGTTGCAAATGTTTTTCTACAGAGGTGTTCGGGTGCTTTTCTACTCTTGGCCAGTTTGTAATCTCTCCAGTATTCCCTTCTTAGTGGTTTTTTTTGACCTGGCACTTAAAGCTGGGCAAACACTGGAGCAAGATAGTGTTAAGGCTGAGCCGTGTCACCCCAAGAACGGCCACACCAAGGCTGTGCTCTGCTTCTTGTGGCATGACTGAGGGCCAGTGGTGGCTCTGATGGCTGGGATTTTCCTTACAGGGCGTCTGAGCTCCACATCCAGCAACAGCTCCTGCGGCAGCTCGGAGTACTCTGGGGAGGTCATCCCCCACCCCCCGGGGAAGTGCTGCCCCGGTCGGGGGCC